AATGGATGTCTTCAGTTATGGTGTCCTCCTTATAGAGATGGTCGTTTGCCAGTTTCCAGACGTAGGAAAGAGAGTGGCTCAGATTAAAGCTATCAAGAGGCCGACATTGAAGAACCTCATTGAATGTTGTCTGATAGAGAACTATAAACAGCGTCCAACAATGTCTGACATTATAAATGAAATAAAAGAGAAACTTGAGTGAAGTAGGGAATTAGTTTGCACTTTTGTGTGATATTTTGACTACTCTATTGTGTTTTGTATTTTTTGAAATTTTTAAAAAAGATCTTCATCAAAATTCAATATTGTGCACACCTTGAGCAGCTAATGCCCACACAATTAATTTACACCTTGAGCTAACGCCTACACAACTTGAGCTAAAACTCGTCATACAAGACAAAGAGAAGCAACAAGAGTAGATTATTATCAGGTTTCAATGTTGATATGTTAACTAAAGCAGTTGCTCTATCATCAAGACAAAGACAAAAGCTACTAAGACAAGTAGAGCATACTAATAATAACTAATAATACTTTATTACTATATTCCTCAATACATGTACAGTTTAAATGCACTCCAACTGTGTCCTGTCATAATACTACATAAAGACACTGAAGGAAGAATATTATAATAAGAAAAAATAATAATAATGATAAATTGTTAATTTACATGCATACATCACAAACTAAAATATATTTAATTAATGCATGTACATAATTATAATAGATGCATTACAATTCACTCATTCATTGACTTGTTGATGCATGCAACAAGAGGTTAGGCCTATTCTCCATCTCCATGTACTGATCAAACTTGTCCTGAGAATTAATGCAAACTACTTCACCAGAGTCACCCTCACTATATGCCATATCAAAATCCTTAACGTCTTGAAAATTACCTTCCATCTTCACTTTGCTTAACAAGGTCTGTAGCAAGACTGGCTTGGGACATGATATCCTTAGCAACTGGCCTTGGCACGTTCCTTGAATATCAATGTCAAATGTCTCATTTGTAATAGCATAGCTTCGTGCCCTTGAGCGATGGACTGTTGTAGGCTCATCTTCTACATCTCCCTTCAGCATTTCTTGCATTCGCCTTGCATCAACTTCTGAGGTACTTGGGTTCTCAATAGGCTCCAGTGAGGACCTGGAAGAGGAGTCATAAAGAGGCACGTCCTCACCTGATTCAGACTGCATTTGTGATTCCTCAGCGGAAGACATTGAGGATATTATGGAGGACCTTGGGTCAGGTGAGTGATCATTTGGTGTGTAGCTTGTCTCAAATGGTTTGAAAGTCTCACGAGTATCATCAGCAGAGGCACTGGGACTGCTCTCTGATTCATCAGTAGTAGTAGCAGTAAGGTCTTCGACAATGTGTGTGTCATCTTTGAATTTAAAGTTCTTGATCATCCTAGCCACGGTCTTGTGATTATCAAGGTAACCAGGGCTCTCCTCTTCTATTATCTTCATTTGACGTAGTGTTGCTCGACTGTATGCCTCCCACAGTATCATTTCTCCAGAGTTATCAAGAGGCTGGCTCTTATCCTCTTCAGTTTGAGGGAAGTCATCAAGCGGATATCCCTCCAGTGGTGATTGGAAACCTTTGGCTCCACTCACCACCATACACTTTTCCTTCTGACAGGGTCCCTCGCAGG